TACCAGCTCAGGGCAAACAGAAAAAGAATAAGAAATTATTTACTATGTCTCTTTTGAAAGGAGAATAAACATTACATAACTGCATAAATATATTCCACTTGCTTAAATTCTCAAAAAAAAAAAAAATTACTAAGTTATTAACTAGAAAATCTGGACATTTTGAAATGCATCAGAAAACTTGTTTCTATAAGGCATTTTGGTGGCAGATGAACATGGGAAGCAGCTGTAGGTAAAAGTCATCTTTCAAACCTATTAAAAACATGGTTTGTGACAGAAAGAAAAATCTCGATTTTGTCTTGTAGTTTATGACAAAAGTAATTTTATAATTTGGTAATTCAAATGTTGTATTGGGTATTTACACTTGTAAACTTAAAATTATTATAAACACCTATTTAGACTCTTACTATTAATACATATCTTTCAAATTATCTGGAAGTTCAACATGTTTATACAAACCCTTTAAAATGATGCCGAATTTCCTGCTAGATGCCAGTCTACCATCATATTTAGTGCTATTTCCTAACTTGATCAAAGGTCTTCCTCAAAAGCTCCTGCCCATTGACTCAAATAGAGGTTTTTCAGAGAATAAAGGCTTCTTTTTCCTCAAACTACTAGCAAGCTTCCTATAGGATGAACAGTTAGAAATCCTCCACAACTGCACAACTTAGCTGTTTTGCTACCAAAACATCTAGAAATGTACCTCTTTCTCATAACTGCCAACCGCATTAGTTTTACTTAGCTCTGCTGTAGGCATTAGAGGAACATCTCAAACACTCCCTAGCATGTCACACAGTCACAGAATAACAGGTTGGAAGGGACCTCATCTAGTCTGACCACCTGCTCAAAGCAAGTCCAGAGCGGTTACACAGGACCAAGTCCTTTTGGGATCTCACTTCCTCTGAGGAAGGAGATGCCACAGCCTCTCTTGGCAATCTTTTCCCACCTGCTTGATCACCCCCATGGGTATTTATTATACCCACGGGTATTATATCTAAGCAGATTTTCGCATGTACCAACACGTGCCTGTTGCCTCTAGTCCTGTCACTGGGCACCTCTAAAACAGCCTGGCTCTGTCTTCTCTGTACTCTCCCATCAGGTACCTGAAGACAGCAATAAGATGCCCCTGAGCCTTTTCTTCATAAGGTTGAACAAATCATATTCTAGCAGCCTCCCCTCATCCATCATATGCTCCAGCTGCCAAACCCTCTTGGTAGCCCTGGCTAGACTTGCCGTAGCCCTAGAAAATCCTGTTCTTTGGAGATTTCCAACTGTGAGGGGAAAAAATAATGCTGTTATGGTGTATATTTATTTAAATGAGACCAAGCATATTAAATTAGCTCTTAAATTAAATTAGGAGTAGTAATAACAGAAAAATCTGATATCTTTTCACATTTAGAAGTTTGAACACAGTCAAAGATACACCTAAAAATACGTTACAGATTTATAAAGAAATCATTCAAGAAGTAAGCACTCACATTGCATTCAGTTTGAAGGGAACCTAGTTTTCTCACCAGAAACAAGATCTAAATGATCAGGTATATGGCATATATATGTATAAACATGGTGCAGCTTTATGCCACATACCTGCTTCTAATCATTTCAGGCCTCAAGTTTTGGATTATCAAATCACTTATAATGTCCTAGTACAGCACATCGAAATTTTAGCCAGAATGGTAACAAGCTATGTGAAAAATAATCTACTTATGCCCTACCTGGAACATATTCTGTGCTGACTCAAGCTGACTTTTTGAGCAAGACAGACTCTTCAGCAGGCGTCCAGTCTTACTATCTTAATCTTAGCTAGATACACTTTACATCTGCCAAAACAAGTACTGAGTTAGTAGGAAACAAAGTAATTCACAAACAGAAGTACTGTTTGTACACTCTCAAGTGAAATTCAAGGAATATGCTTTTGATGATAACTTGGAGTAAAGGACAACTTATGCAAAAGGGATTTAAGGAAAGGAAACCAACAGAAGCTTTATGACGTGGTGAAAAAATATGGATTAAATGTATCAGAGCTGTTGCTAAGAGGAACTGACAGAGCCGCTGAGATAGCTCAATGACCTGATTAAGACAGTAGCAAGAAACCATGTTCTCTGTTCACCTCTACAAGATTTTATCATAAATAATTTTATTAACTTGATATATCGAGACTCCCTCCTTAAAATATATCTCAGATTACCATGTAGGTAATCCTGCGGAATATACATAGATAGCACTAAGTCTCATTACTTTTATGAAATTGAAAAGAATAACATCCATAGGTGTGTAGGCTGAAATTGAAACACTAAAAACCATTGAATTAAGTATTATTTAATTATTGTAGTGCAAGAAAAAATACCTGAAATATTTGTGTCTCCAGAAAATTTCAGATTGTTATAAAAGGTCATCATTAAAGTGTGAAAACCTCTTACACTGACTGCTGGACATATAATAATCTCTCTTACTCAATGGCCAGCATTTTCATTTATCCATTCACTCCCTATAAATTCTTTAAAATCCCTGAACCTTCGGAGCAGCTTCTTTATTAGCTTATATTCTCAACGACCTTAAATTGAAACCCTCTATTAAACTCACAAACAGGCCTTTATATACCTTCTTCTTAATATAACTTCTTACAAGTTGAACAAGTTTTCCAGTTTCTATTCATTCCTATAACACATGAAATGAAGTATTTGAAAAACACGTTCCTTTAAGAACACTTACAGCCTGATGTTCTAACAGAGATATCCTTCTTTCATTTCACTCTCAAGTAAATATTACAGAACACAGTTCGTCTTAATGAATTATTGTTAAATAGAGTATTACTTCTATAGGGGAGCTGCAGCGGTTTGGGATGTCTGTATGTGACAATGTGGTATTCTTTGCTGTTGTGTAAATCGCAGCGCTGGGAAGAACAGCGGCAGAGCAGACTGGTTCTTGCATCAGAGCTGCTGAGACCCAGAGCCTGGTGTCTGAGCGTAAGCCAGCCTTTGCTGGATGTTCAGTCGTGACTTTTAACTGAAGCAGCCAAGGCACATGCGAGCTCTGACGACTGCTGTGAGAGCAGTAGCCCCTAGCAGAGGGCTGGGGTCAGTGATGGGAGCAATTATGCCAAAGCACTGCAGAAGGCTTGCTGAGGCTTGTATTTTAGCTCCCACAAATAGTTAATTTTTTCATATAAGAAAGGATTCTTATCTGCAACCATTTTTTTCTCGTTCTGTCTATCATAGACATTTACCCTACTATCAAAATCCCATGCTGACGTACATTTTATTGCAGTAGCTCAGCCTCAGTGTTCTATACAGCAACAAATATGCATTGGCTAGGTCTGTCAAATATCTTTCCTCAGCTTCTTCCTTTCTGCCTTTTGTGGCCAACTCTTTCTCATAGGTTTTCTTTTGTACAAAGTCTTTTCCTTCCCTCTGTGTATCTAAATAGTACAATATCTTCCAACTATTTTACTGGTCTTCACTTGTCCTGTAATTTCTCTCACATGCATCCAGTCCATGATACTGCATTTCATTTCCTTGAATACCATGAACAGGACAGGAGCTTGACAGCCCAGCATGAAGGATGATTCCTTAGCCCTATCCTCTCATTTTGCTTTTTTTTCTCAAAACGCTACTTCACATTTCTCTGTTTGCATCATATGGCACCAAAGAAGAAAAGAAAGCAGATTTTAGTGTTTGAAGGTTCAACATCCCATCAGCAGAGTTTAGGAAAAAAAGAAGAAAAAATCACAGCACAGACAGAGAAAAACGAAGTTAACATGGGAAGGTCTGAAGAGGAGTCATAAGAAGATGTGCTGGAGAGGGGTACCCTCCTTTATCCTGGTTTACTGACTCTGCGTTACAGCTTTTTTTATTTCTGCACACTGCTTACTGTTGTATAGACCATCAGTAGCAAACCATGGAGAATATGACATAAGAAAAAAATCCAGTTCATTTCATTATTTTCAATTTGCATGTGAAAACATCCTGTGTACGTTATTTCAGAACACATGGGGAAGAGTTCACACAGCCCTGCCCTATTCACGAATGTATGGGAATGAATATATAGCATCCATTAAATTTGCTGAAAACATGTTACATTGTACACTATCAAAAGAAAGGTGTTTTCTAAAAAAATAATCATACTTGTTTCACTGTCCGTGAGAAATTAAGAGCAGGATGGCAGAGGGTGTTTACACAGGCACTTAGCCAGGAAACAGTGTGTTTTCCACAGATACAGTCATTCAGGGAGCACATCTCCGATTTTCATGAGCTCCCTCCCTCTGTTCTCATACCTCTGTAATTATATCGAGAAATCTATCTGTAGGTAAGAAAATACATACAGTTCTGCACGATGTATTCGAATGCTGCCTCTTTCCTTTAGGTAAGTGCTACCACACTGAGGCCATTTGTAGGAATTTTACACAGCAAGATAAACAAATGAAACCCCCTTAAGGAAACACATGAACTGCAGGATAGTTTCACAGTGAATCGTTACCAAAATCTGCGTAAGAAGACTGTAAAAGAATGCTCTATAAATCTTCTGTGCAATGCAGCATTGCTTATTAGCAGGCTTGGTGGAAAACCTCGTGAGATAGAAAGTCTTGTCACTTTATTTGTATGTGCTTTCCTGCATCTTAAGTTGCAGCTTAGGATCCCTTAGGATCATGTGAGGCTAGGTTATATATTAGAGAGCTGTGCTATAGTGCTGTGAGTGTGTAAGCCTAGCAGCTGGGTAGTGTTATGGTTGCTGCTTTCCTGTGCTAAGCTGATTTACTTGTTTAAGGTCTGACCTCATCATCCTGTCAGTATGGATTCCCACCTATACAGTTAGTAGCAGCTTAGCATCGGCTTGAAGAGCTTGCAGTATATTAATCAGAAGAGAGAGGGAGAAAGCTACCGGTATTTGTTCTTTTGTTGTCTTTTCTTAAGAAGAGGAGTTGAAACACAAGAGATAACAAAGAATCCATTTCCTTTTAAAAAGAAAAGGTTTTTTTTTTTTTTTTTTTTTTCCCCCTGAAAAAAATGTCAGTATCTGGAAAGAAAGAGTTTGATGTGAAGCAGATCCTGAGGCTCCGCTGGAGGTGGTTCAGTCACCCCTCGCAAGGCTCCACAGGCACGGGGGGCTGCCATCAGCAGGAAGGATATGAGCACAGAGGGACACCGGTTCAGAACAGGTTGAAGAACCACTCTCGGGACAGAAATGGGCTGAAGAAAAACAGCAGTCCTGTCCACCACAATATACTGGCACCCGTGCCAGGTCCAACCCCAGTGCACCACCGATCTATTCAAACCTGGCATCAACAAAATCTCATAGAACAGCTTCGATCAAATGAGGATATTCCCAAAACAAGCACAGAGGAAAACTGTGTCAAAGAAGATTCAAGTAAAACCCCACAGGAGTTGCAGATGATCACAGAAGAAAATTCAGATGAATCTGCAGAGAGGTAGGAGTTTTAAAGTCTGCACTTAGAAAGCCATACTTCTATCCAAGTTATTCCCTAAAACTGTCTTTGTTTTTAACCAGAATTCCTTACTGAATTAGTCTCACTTCATATATGTGCACACCCACACTCAAGGGAATAGGAACACGTTCACATTAAAAAAAAGAACAGGAACGTTGTCATGAAATTTTGATCTTTGCTTAAGATACATCATTCCATAACTATTCCATAAAAATAAAATCTGCCAGTTTGTCAAATTTTCTCTATTACAGTTTACAGCATATTAATTTTTTTGTCTTCATTTATTATCTTTAAGTGCAATGAAAAAATGAGCCTTCTGAAATATTGTCCTCATTCTGACTTTATCAATGGGTGCAACTTTGACAAATGGGAACTGCTGGAGGTGCACAGTCTGTGTGGTTGCCATCGATCTGTCAAATTTCTCACTGCTGTTTTTTATTGCCTTCTTGACAAGTATAATTAACCTTGAACTAAGTGGAAAGGAAGCATCATTACTTTCTTTTTTTAAGGGTTTATTTGAAATCACATTACTTTCACAGCTTAATATACTAAGACAAATACTTTCTGCAAGGTCAGGTGAAAAAACACTACAGCTATGAGACCTTAAAGGTATAAGCACAAAGGAAGAGCTATTTTTAAGATGTTAATACAGGGAAGAAAATATTAATACCAGTTATTTGATTAGAGCATGCCTTTTAATTTTTTATGGGGTTGTTTTTCAAAATTGATGTCAGCATGATTAGTTTATACAGCAACAATTTTACCCCACTTTTACCCCACCTTGGACTCAAATTATGCATTTATAACATGATTATTTGCACCATTTAATGAGATTACCATCACTCTTTGGCAGCTATTTACATTTCTTGCATTGTATTTAAATACAAATCTATCTTACTTGAAGTTATAGTTTCTCTCAGTAAAACCAAAGTTGACAGTTTGTGTATTTTTAGCAGAGTTATTATTTTTCACGTTTTACAGCTGCTGTAGGGAACATCTGCAGACTGAACAGAAAAAAAAAATGCATTCCAAATTGTCATTTTGAAGACAGTACTAGTAGTCAATATGTACTGCATAAAATCATTACAGAATAAAATCAGTAAAGTAGGAATGTGGTAGTTCTGTATGTTTACTAGTGTACTAGTTTGTAATACTGTGTATTACACTGTGATGTGTAGGAAGCATACTCTTAGTATAACATTTGGAATGATTACAAATCTCCTGCAAGGGGGGAAGAAAAAGTAATTTTAGGCACACCTTAGAAGGAAAATCAATTTAATTTGAAGAAAAATAAGGAACACTGAATAATCAAAGTAAGATTTTATTCCAGGTGAAGAAGGTAAAAAAAATATAATCAATTCAGTTTGGAAGTTATAAGCCACTGTCTTCTAAAATAAGATGTGACATTTTCTCCAGCTATATATAAACTTTCTGCTAAGACCTCATGAAGTTTTGTGCCTTCATATTCATTCAAATATAAGTTCTTCTCTTGAGCTGTTTAAGTTTGCAGCTTTTAGAAAAGTTTTAGGAATGTATATATCTTATAAATTATTGTTATATTCAAGTAAGTGTATTTTCTGTAAAGTTATCAGTAAAAGCTTTTTATGCATGTTGTAGGCTAAAACCTATCTTAACATACACCTTAAAAGGCTGAATTTGTAAGAAATTGTTTAGAAAGTGAATCCTGACTATGAGTTTCTCTAAAATTTTATTTCAAGACAATAAAGTCAATCATTAAAACCAGCTTAACATAGCTCAAATTTCTTAAATATATACCAACAGAAATCATTAAGTAAACCACTGTTCTCTTCCCCTATCGCATCCAGCATAGGCCACACACAAATTAATATATGAATTGATTGGGCAGAAATGAAATACTGAGAAGAAGAAATAAAGAGAAGTAGCCTTATATCTATATCTACCTATATCTAGTTGCTGGATATATTTTCATCTCTTCAGAACAACGCCTCATCTTATGCCTTTGAAATCATCCCTTTAAATCATTTTGGGCCTCCTTTTTCTTTAGAAGTTCCAAATAGTCACGATCAATTGTAATCAATGAGATCTGCTAGTAACTAACACATCTGAAAAATCAGGCATTTGCAGGATCCCGAGTCCCTCTTCCTACACTATTAAAGCCACTGCATAAGGAACTATACAATATTTGCAGCCATATGCTCTTTCCCATTCATACCTGAGGACACCAAAGACAATCTCATACAAATTTGCCTTTTATTCCCGAAAAGGAATCGTATCTTCAGAGTGGTTTTCTCTAATCCAGCAGGTTTACCTCTGCCTGTAGAAGTCCCATTTTTAGCTGGACTCTAAAGCAGGACACTGCTACATGTCACTTGGCCATTGAAAATAGTAGAAAAGGACAGAAAATGAGGCCAATACCTCAATCTTGAGCAGACTATGAAAGCAATTTCTACTAGCAGCTTAATGCTTCCTATGAAAAAGCTTTGGAAACATGAAATCAATATTCTCAGTTTCTTCAGAAAAACTTGAGATGTGTTTCTCTAGAAACCTCAGGACTTAATGCTTTCAGTGATACAGATATAGCACTCTGGGGATTGATGAAATAAGGCTTGTTTATTGAGGAGGAAAGGTAAATAAGAAAGTTCCAAACAGTTCCATTTTGAATATACTATCATCAATACACTTGCTTCTGCTTTCTTCAATAATTTTTGGTAATCCTGTACCCAAATTAAATAGCGCAAGACCTAAAGAAACCTTTCTGACCTACAGGCTTGTTCCTGAATGATATCGCATGGCAAATGACGGACAAAGTAAATGAGGGCTTAAGTGACCAAAACTCATTAGTTTTGTAGTAACAGTAGCCAGTTAAGATGTGACCAACCAATAAATGCTAGATGCATAACAGATAAATAAATTGCTTATTGGCACAAGGTTAATTAAAGCCTCCCAGCATGCCTGGGGACTGTCTTATCCAGTGTTTCTAAGGGAACACACTCAACAGGTATCAAACAATCTTCTAGAAGCATCTAAAATGATGGGCCTTGACCTGTTATAAGATCCTTATGGAAGTTGCATCTATAGTTTTGAAAAAAGCTGAACAGTGGACAATACACATTTAATTGACCTAGTCTGATTATCACCGATCTGCTCCTTGAAAGAGGATTGGGACTTTTCACAGGTGAAAAACAGAGAAACTAGCTAAAACGTGAATAGATACCAAGATATTTTGTTCATTTGTACACTGTATTTCCCACTATAAAATATTATGGTATTGCTGGGATGGTCAGAAAGCTAAACCTGCAAAGTATGGCTGTGCAAACAAAGGGCAAAAACCTTCAAAGATTTTAGACTTGGCTTAAAGTAGGAGCTTATGTGAGCTCTGAAAGAATGCATGGTAAATAAACTGAATTCATCTGGTTTCAGAAAGCATAGTTGTGGATTTTTGTGCACTTTAGCTAGCTGATGTTCATCTGATCTACTCTAACTGCCTGGAATCTTTTGAGGTTCAGGTTCCTCCGTCAGGGAGACCTTGAAGCAAAAACTGGGAAGATTTGATTGCTAGATTTTGTTTGAGAGTCGACAAAACCTTTGCTCTTGCGTGCAACACGTGAACACACGCTTGTGCACACACAAACTAAAAAAGCACTGATAACTCCAAATAAGAAGAATCCATGATATTGAATTACCTTGATTATTTCACTTGATAAAGTTTGGACTCACAGGCATGACTGTATTAACCTTTCAATATGAGCATTATGCCTAGTATTTAATAATATTATGCTACATTGCCACATCAATTTATGTATGATTGCTAGGAGATATATTATGATTCTATAAGTATACTATTGAAGACCATGTGTGCTGGTAAAGTACGTGTGTACCTCTTCTCCTAGTTGCCCAAAGGCAGTTAGATTTCAACAATGAATGCAGGATCCATTCATCATTTTTCTCTCATGCATTTTTTCTAATTATATGGCTGAAAAAATGCTGACAAACTATAGTTTGGTTGAAAAACCTGAGTTTTGCTAAAGATACATGCTTTCTAATTTCCCATATGAGACAAAATATACTTCTAATTAATTTTAATAGAATCTTTTGATGTCATAATCCAAGCAGTCAGTACTAATGTACATGGAAACAGATATTTGGGAGGAGTATCCTCCTAATTGAGGCAATGTATTTTCTGTAGTGACTATTTATGATGTTTGGTTATTTTGATCCTTCATCTTAAGACATGAAAACTCATCTAATTGGCCCCCTTTTTTTTTGTCAGCCACATGGAAATAGCTAACAGACCATTTCCATTACTATCTCTTACATATACGCACACATACATGTACATAACTATTTCAGATGTTATCCCCTATATGAGGGTGTTTCTCCTGGAGTTCTATTTTTATTTCCAGTAGTGGCTAACAGCCTTGGCTCACATTCCAGTGTGAAATAAAGGTACCACAAGATAAAAATACCCCTTTAATTGTTGCATTATCCCAGAAAATACTGGACAGGTAGAAATGAATGAATCAGTGGGCAGTGCCTGACTGCATTTTCTTGCACACACGATGCCATTTTTTTGGTTAGCTAATGTGGCACAGACCAAGGACACATGCTGTCATGTTTTCTTCTGCTGAGCACTTTTCTGGGGAGAGCCATTACACTACACATGCATCATGTCCTCTAAAGTTTGTAACAGATACTCACTGAAATGATGTCTGCTTAATTTTCCAATACAAAAGATCATTTCCAAAAAAAGAAAACAGGTGATAATTTTCCTGGTGAAAATGGAACGTAGAATTATTCTAGAAACCACTGGTCAAACCAGATTGAGAGGGTTTTTTACATTAAAAGTACAGTTCTGGGTATCCAAATAAGCAGAGTCCTACCACTGGTTCATAAGAATGACTGATAATGAATGACAATGCCTCTAGTAAAGGGAAGGACTGCAACATGTCCTTTGCAGAGTTGATGATAAAGCATTGCATTCAGAGTAGTACATCATGACA